GAATGGATGAATCAGTCACCTATAACAAGAATAACAAGAACATAGAGAAAGAAAATGGACCAAGAATAGAACATAAAGTATGAGCTACTGCATGGAACAAAGAAGGTACAATCTAAAATACTCCTGAGGCTGTACTTATCCCAGAAATTGAGAGATGGTTCCTAGGAAAAGGACTATCTCTTAATTTTAAGATAAATTACTAAGTTATGAAGAGAAATTTTTTAAGCTTTATTACAGGACATTTTTTAATACTTGCATCCATTGTAAATGCAGGCCACAGCACATCCCATGTGAACAGGGGTTTGTATGAGTAGTGACAGGTCTCCAACAACATGTTATCCCTCTGTGTTCATCTTGTAGTGGAGTCCTGCTGCATCATGCTGAGTTATTGAACCATTTCTGACCATTTAAGTAATTTTACATTATTTGTTAAATAGATTGGTGTGGCATTTTATGACATGTTGCTGAATGTAGACCAGTGTAGTACCCACTTAAATTACATGGATCCCATCTGTGACTTCCTGTATCATATGAAGTATATGTTTACTGGCGACAGTGTAAAAGAGCAAGTAAGTTAACTTTAATTATTTTTTAATGATGTTTAATTTAGAAAAACTGGAACATATGGTGGTAAATTTTTTTGTTTGGAGGAGTATATTTGTTTAATTTTTCTTTTAAGGGAAAAAGGTTGATATCAGACCTTTTTAGGCTACAGGAGACATTATTCTGGATATTGTATTAAAGTAAATGTAAATATATTTTATAATTTCTCACACTTTTCCTCCTTGATATTTGCAACAGGACATCTGAAAAAACCTAGGTGGTTTATTAGTAGTGATCTCATTAGGAAGAAACAGTACAGCATGGCTACTGAAAAGACCAGAGGTGTTGCATTCTGAGTGAAGGAAGTCCTACTGTTCCCAGTGATTTGGGTACACTGGACAAACTGCAGCATGACTAGAAGACTGAAACCAGGAGGAGGGTCAAGGGAATAATTAGTGAAGGGTATTTGAAGGAACTGGGAATACTTAATTTAAATTTTTAAAGTCCTAGAGAACTGTTCATGGCCTCACTATTTGAAGTGTTGCCATTTAAAATAGTATTAGATTTGTCTGTGTCACTTCAAAGGGCATATAAACTGTTGAAGTTAAAGGGAGGCACATTCTGACTGAACATATAGAGCCACTTGCTGATAGAGCTGTGTAAAAGTGGAAAGGACCTCCTTGAATCATAACTGAATTTTGGTTCCTAACTGTACGAAAAATATTTCAGCTGTTTTAGAAGGATGGAGGTAGGATATATAGGTGAATTTATAATGTTAATGTTATTTCTTTCTACAAAGGGAAAGGAAGGTAAATTCATATATAAGCAGGAATCCTAGTCTACTGGATTTTTCCTTGGAGCTTTGGTCATGGGGTGGAGGGGAATGTTGATTCCTTTATGCCTCAGCGGGATTGTCAAGAAAAGTTGCGTGGAAGCTAGTACAGAAGTATTTATTTAGCATATCCTTTATATTTGTGCCTAAGAAACTTTGACACAAGGGAATATAGAATGGAAAAATTATTAATGGTTGATCTTTCCTGGTAAGGTCAAAAAGCACTTGAGTAAAACTAAGAATGCTATGGGAACTGCTTGATGTGTTAATTTCTTTAAACTGTTTAAAGTAAGAATAGGTCTAATATTATTTAGTTTGAATTCCAAGTATAAATCAAAATTTAAAAATTAGCTTTGTAGAGAAATGTTACAAGCATAAGTTATTCTAAGGACTTCAAATTTAGTCATGCTTCATGCTTCTGTGAAAATGGCATTTTAAAAGGATGATAAACTTTTGGATATATAAACTTGCCAGTGTAAAACCATAGTATTTGGCAGTGGTACGAGTGACTAGCCATGTAAGTGGGTAGGTTTTTATAAGTATATCCATATATAAGTATTTATTTTTGCATATGCTATATATAATGAGTGTGAGGGAGAACACTTTTTTTCTCATGCAAAAGAAATAATTTTATCTGCTTTTGGTAAAACACAAACCATACAGAGAAACTTTTCATTCACCCCACTCAACTGCATAGTTTATTGTCTCAAAATATGTGTAAATCGCTTTTTTAAAGGTGGGACATTGAAGTTCTCTGGTTAAAATTATTTTTTAATATATTTTATTTCTTAGGTGGAGAAGATTATCTGTAATTTAAAACCAGCTTTAAAACTTCGTCTTCGATTCATCACACACATAAGTAAGATGGAACCAGCTGCTGTTCCTCCACAAGCCATAAATAGTGGGTCTCCAGCCCCTCCGTCTAATCAGGGGCCAGTGTCTTTACCGGTAACTCAGTGAGGTCAGGGTGTACTGTGTGGTGAAAGTGGAAACACCTGTCTTTGAAGTGGACTCAAATCTATTCAATCTGTACATGATCATGCTGGCATAGTGTGATGTAGTAGAAGGCAATGATGTTCAGACTGTTTTATTTTGATTCAAATGATGAATCTATTGATACCTTAAACTCCCATCTCCTTATCTCTATTTTTGTCTCTAAGAGATTAAGTAAGCTACTGTTGCTCATGTTCATAACAATTTATTAGAGCTACCCAGGAACATGGAAGTCTCTGTGATCAAATGACTTTTACTAAATACTCTAATCTTTCCTATTTTAGCCATTGGTTTTGTTATTTTTTATTATTAATAACTTATTCAGTCTTCAAATGCATTGTTTTAAAGGCACCACACATGTAAATTAGTTATTACAAATCCTTTTATACATAAATCTCTTTTGGTGTATCTTTGGGAAAAGAGATTTTTGTCAAGTTAAGGACTCCAGATTTCACTGTATTGTAAGAGCAAACAGTTTCCTCTTCTTTTTAAAATGGCTTAAAATTTTTATCATCGATATCCAAGTAAATGAACTAATGTTCCTATTGAGGTAGACTGGAAAGTTGCATTTTCTGTGGACTTGAACTTACTGTATGAAATGAATTGGAAACTATGTAAGAAAATAGCCTACTTAGCAATGTATAAAAGTAATAAAATCATGCATAAGTGGTGATTTTCCAATCTGTTTTTAAAAGTAAATCAATTGCTTTTCCAGGTTGATACCCTCACCTGGAAGATATGATTCTTTGAATTTTTATAAGCTTAACATTTTTAAGTATTTATATTTTTAAATATAATGTACATTTGGTTCTTTAGGGTGTACTAGATTTTGAGAGACATACTGTTAATTTGGGCATGGGGGAAATGGCATTAAGATTGTAAAAACTTTAAAAATAATTAGCGAAATCTGTTGAATGAATAAACTGTCTGATTAATTACACAATTTGAATGAGTGTCTGCTGTGTGCCAGGCAGTATGCTGGCTGGGTTATAACAGAAAACTGGCTATCCGCATGGGTTGTACACTACAGCTAGGACAGGCATTGACCCTAGGGAGTAAGAATTACTGATTTTTTTTAAAAAGAGTTAGTGAAGTTTAACCAACTATACTTCAAGTTTTTATTTCCAAAAACATTATTCCTAGACCTATATCTTCTTCATGGTCCATAATATTATGAACATTAAATTTTAATTGCCATGCAAGTCCAGCTTAAAATTTATATAATGGTATATACAGTAATTTTTCTAAGCTAAAATAATATTCTTAAAATTCTCCAGAAATTTTATCCTGAAATGATTTCAACTATTACTCTTAACAAAGTATCAGTATATTTTTGCTGCCTTGAGGAATATATTCCTTCGAGATCCTAGAATGGGAATCACTGTGACACTGGTATTATACAAACAGAATAAAGGAAGTGAAAATGATATCACTTTCTTAAGGACATATACATCCCCATCTATTAAAAATTCAGTTTTTTCCTCTGTCACTTAAAGAATTGTAATATACTTTTCCCCAAATAGGCTTTTAAAAGAATTATACATAAGAGACATTAATAGAAGACAGAAGCTTTATTTGGGTTTAGAATTTACTGGGGTCAGGAGGGGGAGGCTAGAAATGCCTTATATTCATTATATCCTAAAAGCTTTCATTTTGAAAATTAATAGTAACTTTAGAGTGATTCTGTCCAATGTGACTTTCTTCAGTGGTAGAATTAGTCTGTATCTGTGCTGTTTGATATATGGGCCTATTGAGCACTTGAAATGTAGAATGGAATTTTTATTTTAACTAAGCTTTAATTAATTTAAATAACCACATATGACTACTGTATGGGACAGTATACTCTAGAGTAAGATACATCATAATTGCATTTATCTTAAAGTAATTCAGTATGTAATCTTATGAAGTCCATAATATCAATAGTTAGTTTTAAAATTCTGGGTTGCCTGTGAAAACTCAGATGCCGTAGGCTCTTTAATACACAGCTACTGTAGTCACAACAGCAATGAAGAGTTTTTCATGGGGCTGCTTCATTACAGAGCCCATTTCAGTTATACGTGAAGGGGAAGAATTTGCTTCCCCGGTTTTGATTATAGTTTGCTTTCATTTATTTTTTCCACATTCCTCACTATATTCCTGAGCCAAGATTAGCTTTTAGGATGTCTAACGATTTCAGCTAATAAATGTCTCAATAGCTAGAACTGCAATAAGTGAAAGATGGGGCATTTGGAAGCCACGGATAATTTTAGGTGAAATCACTATCTGAATTAGCAGATTTTAGAAACGAAATAGCACTTTAATTTATTCTATCTCCCAAAAGGCTACCTGAACAGCAACCACACTTAAAATATACCAGGATCATGTTTGAGGTTTAGAAAAAGTAAAACATGGTCATCTAACATTAATGAACTTGGAATTTTCCCAGGCCTTATGATTATGCATGTTACACATAAAGAAACCAGAGCCAGAGAGTTTAGTTTCACTAAGGTCTTACAATGTTTGGGGATAATGATTTCACTATGGCTTTTAAAAATCTTATAATAGTTTTAAGCAAGATGGATGTGTGTGTCTGTGTGTGTGTGTGTGTGTGTGTGTGTGTGTGTGGCATGTATATAGAAACATGTAGACAGAATCTTATAAAGAATTTATTATAAAAGTCACATCTTTTGAACAACATGGAAACATGGTCCCTTATCAGGTGGCGTAGCTTTATCTCCTGATATCAGGAGTCCCACTCTGTGTGGGAGCTTATGTAGGCATGTGTTTATTTTTAATACCAGCAAATTTTTATTTGGAAATTATACTTCTGCTTCTCAGAAGTCTTTTATCAAAATGGGAAATAGAAGTTTTCAAAAAAGGTAGAATTTCCAAATCTTGAATTTCACACCAAGAAGGAACTGTTGTAGTTTATACTAATTATAACAATATTTACTAAGGCAAAACATTTTTCTGAAAGACCAAATCTTTGGGAAGATAACTATAAGCTTAAGTAAATAATTAGATTTGCTAATTATATCATTAACTGTGAAATTTTTACATGTTTCCACATTTACTTATCTGGGTTAAGGTAATCAGTAGGCTTATGATTACCCTCCCGAGCAACTCCAAAACAAGCCAAGGTTATTGCCACGGCTGTGTTCACTGTTCGAGTTACTTCTTCTGGTGTCTTCCCCAGGGATGGGTTCACTTCCATTATATCTAATCCTGAGAGTAGTCCTACAACGGAAAATTAAAATATTTTAATTTAGTAAATAGTTGACATTTCTACTTCAGTACCCTGACTTGAAATATCCAGAAATATAAAGAGGTGGTGACCAGCTGACACCACTTTAGTTACTGCATCATGAGATGGGCATTCTTGAAGTGTTAATTGGGGCTTGATTTTTATGTTGGAGGGTATAAATGTATGTTGGCTGTATGTATACTTACCTGTTTTATAAATTTCTTCTGTAATATAGAGACCTTCTCTGTAAGACAGACCTCCCAGAACTGGTGTCCCAGTAGCTGGTGTGAAAGATGGGTCCAGTCCGTCAACATCAAAGCTCAGATGAATTGGCCTTTTCTTTCTTTTAAGAAGCAGGAAAGGAAATTCAGTTTAAAGTTGGTGATTTAATATTTAGTAGATAAATCCAGTTCTTATATTGCTTTATATAGAGTAACAAGCCAGTGAGGTTCCATGATTTTTACATGAAGGCTTTATTATTAATTTGCCTTGATTAGTGTCAGTAGCAAGTCCTTTTAATAATTACATTACCCACACAGGCAGGCCTCGTACCTTCCTAGTAGATAGCTGAGTGCTTCTTCCATCACCTTGCCAATTCCCAACTTGTCCACTTCAGTCATTGAAAAGGATTTAATACCGAGAGTTTTCAAAATGTAGCTATGAAAGAAGAGATTAAAATAAGGATTCTGCCCTCTTGTTTCCTTTTAAGAAAAGATCAGTTTGGTAAGATAAATATTTCAGTTTTGTAAACTGTGTGTATATCAACATATTTCTAACAGCAAGTCAACTGAAATAAAAATCACCTGAATACATATATATGTACATGTATATATATGAGTATGTGTAGATATAAATATATAGACTTGGTGCTTAGATTTTTCTCTTAGGTTTGACTGATACACTTAGCATGCAAAAGGACAAAAATTAAGGTAAATCACATCAAGGAATAAACTTACTGTTCTGCAGGGTCCACGTCTCTCAGGCCAATATATACAATATCTTTGGCAGATAGGCAGGGAGTCACCCAGGAGAATCCTGGTACATCAGGCATCTGAAATTGTAATGTTTCCATTTAGTTATATATATGCTTCTCTTGAGCAAACCTTACATAGAAAGTTCAGGATACATTGGATTGCATGTATCATATTTAGAACATACATCTTAAGGAAATTATTATGAGACAATATTAAGAAGAGAATACCTGCCTCCCCTTGTGCCCTTGATGGCTTTGGTCTTACCCAGCCTCCACTATGGCCCAGAACTAACCTGAATAATTTGTCAGCATTTACCTATCCCATTTCTACTGGGCCCTGCTTTCTGAGAACTCCTCTATAAAGGAATCTGTATGCTTCTGTTACTTTCATAGCTCCTTCCTTTACTGCTCTTTCTTCATAAGGAGAAAGAGGATGGCTTAGAGTGGCTGAGGGAAATTTTTGACTAGCCCTTTGGTTGCTTTTCAAATGTCCTGGAGCCAACTTGGCTGGTGCGTGTGCTAGCTACACATTTTGCAAGTTTATAAACCTATCAAATGGTCATCAGTTCAGAAAATATTCCTTCTGAGCATTCAACGTAAGGAGGTTTGAATTTTGAGTATCATCATAAAGACCAACATACCACAGCTAGATCAATATGCTAGAGCATATCGATATAAGTATGAACAACAATGTTGGATCATCCTGTAATTTTATCTTACTTTTAGGAAAGAAGTCTCTAGGGAGCAAGGAAGTAGTTCTTCCTCTTAAGATTTAGATACATGCTTCTCACAACTTTTCAAACTAAAGTTTATTTAAATAAATAATAAACCATTATAATCCACATTTAAAAACTCTGTTTTTAAAATGGTCTTGTGATGTGGAGGAAACACTTGGTAAAAATGAGAAGCTGTGTGACGTGTAGTAGAAAGAGGTAGACGTTAGGAGCCATCCTGGCCCTTGTCTTGCTGTTCACTTGGCATGCGATCTTGGGCAAGTTGATTAGACTCTGAATCTCTCTAACTTACTTTTAAAGGATTACCCTCTGTCCCATCTACTAACAAGGGTTGTTTATGAATCAAGAGGGGAAAATCTATGCACAGTCAGTTTGCAAACCATATGTGAAAGGTAGAGCCTCACCACTTTTACCCACCAATCATTTGCTTATTAGCTGGGATTTGGGATTACACCCAGAATAACACGGCACAGAGGTTCTTACTTCCCTTCGACCTCCTGAGCTGCTAAAGATTACTCTTTCATAATAGAATACCAACCAGTCTTTTACCTTTCCCTTCAGTTCCTTCAGGAGGAAGGACACAGGTTGTCCATGTAAGTTCCCAGTTGTGGTTGTCAGTGGAGTGTTTATATCGGTGTGAGCATCCACCCAAATGACACAGAGGTCTGGGCGCACCCTGGCATGGCCAGAGATGCTTCCAATCGCCAAACTTTGGAGAGAAAAATTTGTGTGAATATCAAGTTTACAATTGTCATTACATTCATCCTATCATTAACTCAATACTCTGGCTTGGTTTTCCTTTAAGTCAAAGTGGCTAATATTTCTCACAGGTTTAAAATTGGAGATTCCAATATGACAATTATAACAATAAAGTATAGCTTACACTTAATACAAGTTATATTTACATCAATTTTACTAAAAAGTTTTTGATCTTTTTTGAAACCACCTTCCAATAATATTGCAAATAATAGTTCAACCAAAAATTAAATGTGTGTAAAAACACTTGCTACCCAAGAAATTCCTTAACATGAGGCACTATTCAATTCTCAGGCTTAAATCAAGTTCAGTTTTTGTACTCCCATCTCTCTTAGTAAATACTTAATTCTCCTAAGTGAATTATGACAAAGTCCTCCCATCTTTCTTAAAATCCAATTCTTTTACAATTGGGGAGCATGAGCATCACTCAGAAGTCCTTGTATCCACCTCAGGCAACATATCCTGGGTGCTCACTCACTCTGTTCAAGGCCCAGACTCTTTGCTTGAATTTCCTACTCCCCTGCCATGCTCTTAGCTCGGTCTACAACCCTCATATTTCATCTCAAACACTCCAAATTCCAGGAAATTTGCTACAATGGAAGAGCTAAGTAATAACTCGCACAAAAGTTAAAAAACTAGGCTTTGCCATACAATGCCTGCATTCTCCCACTCTTAAATGCCCTAGTATTGTTCAGAGTATCATGAATTTGTAGATTCTCAAAGTGGAAGCAATGGTGCCTTGATGTTCAGGGTACTGATGTTAGTCTGCCCTTCAGGTTTCTTACCTTTGGGCCATTTGCCACTTTTTTAGATTTCCACTTACAGAAGAAAACGAGCCTCAGTTTCTCAATTGTGATTTTGTCACAGAAGCCTGGTAACAGTTTGGCTTTAGAGGAGAAAACTGAGGAGGCTGAAGTAATTGACTCTTACATCAAGAGCCACTGTAATGTTTGTACTTTCTGATCAAATCATATTTCTTCTGACAATGTATCCTGGAACCTTAAGAGTAAATGTTTAAAAAGCCTGTATACAAAAGTTATCTTTGCCAGGTTATTTGTAATGGTGAAACTTTGAAAAAAACCAGAATACCTGACAATATGGGTTTATATATGGTAATGTAATACCTTGATGAAAAATTATGCAACAGTAAGGTTATGTTTATATATATATACACACATATGAAATGAAGTAACAAGGAAATTTTGTGCTGTAGAATAAAAACAACACAGAATAACACACACATGCACACAGGAGTTAAAATTATGTACAAGAAAAAAAAATATGGCAGGAAGGAAACATGCCAGATTTTCAATTCTGGTTGAAACAGGGAACTAGAATGACCACTATTATATTTTGAAATAGTATAAAATCCAATTGGATATAAAATCCGAGTGTGTATTTAAAAAAATTTTTTAATTATTACTTTTATAATGGAAGAATGTAATGTTGACCAAAGTCAACATTATGGGTTGTTCCCATCATCAGTAATTAAATACAATAAACTATGAGTTTCCTCAGTGCTTATTTATCGAGAATGTAAACCAGTGCTGAATGTTTCACTGAAATCCACTCATTTACATGCAGTTTTCTGCTGTAATAGATAAAGATAATGTAGGACTTCTAGCAGAGCCAAGGGTATGTTTCAAAAATACAATAATAACCAGTAAAATTAAAAGGAAAGGTTGCCAAAAATTTGAATGAAATATTGACCAATGCTTTCCCTTCCATATTTTCTCCCTTCTCATGGTTTTGGTTGTGATTTCTTTATGCCATTTGTGCCAGATTCCCATAGAGATAACCATTAAACAAGACCTGTGGTCTCCGCCCAGTACCAGGCTGGTCCTTCCACTCTTCTTGACTTCTGCCACCACACCAGCCAACTGCTCATTCGCTTTTCCAACACACCTTGGATTCTTCACAAGTTGGAAGGGAGTATCATTAGGGACATCAGCGAAGAGCAGGTCCCCATAATCTTTTACATCATACTCTACAATTAGAAGTTTCAGGTTACTAAGTGAAAAAAAAGATTACAATGCAGTCTCTGTAGGATGAGTCCCAATTTACAAAATAGGTATAGTTTCTAAAGTACAAGCAAAGAAGAAGTCCAGAAGGACTGTAAAAGTCATGGAGGAAGAAATTAGGTCTACATTTGCCTGACATCATTCTCTCTCCCCCAGTGCCTGCTGTATACTGGGTTCTCAGTAAATATTGCTTGAATGGACCCAATTAGACTAAATGCTAGTGCACTAACAGTGTGGTAACCTGCTTATGGATGGAATTACTGTCTTTATCTCTCTATGTGCTTTCTACTTTTCTACAAGAATCATGTTCTGTCTTTGTAATAAAGTGGTATTTTTAGAGGAATAAATAACTAAATATATATATATATATGTGCATAAGAAAATACACTAGTATTTTCTAACTGTTCTGACTATAATTACAGTCTGTGGTTTCATCCAATCCGTCACCTGCTGAAACAGCTCAGCTCCCTCCTCTGTCCATTGTACCTACCTCATAGTGGTATTGTCAGAATTAAATAGGAATGTGTGATTAGCAATGAGCCTAACACTTCAATGACCTCCAGAAACAAAGGCTTTATTATTATGCTTTTTTAATAAGGAGAAATTACAGGTAACCCAAAGTTCCCAAGGACTGGGTGCATTTCCTGAAAGTCCCTGCATTAGGCTTCAAGGTATAAGAGCTTCATGCAAAACTATATATGCGGTCAGGTCAGTCTTCTGAACTAACTAGTCATTATATATTATATTTATTATATGTCCATGTGTATCCATGATTCACTAACACCTTCAAAGAGATTTAACCTGCTATAAAATGTGACCAAATAACGCTTGTTAACTGAGGAACTAGTCCAGTCCATTTATGCAACATTCTGTTCTCCATTAGGGTCTTTTTTGTTTAGCTTTATGATATATAATTCCTATTTGCTAAAATGCATTCATTTTAAGTGTATACGTGAATAGGACTTAGAAATATCTAGTCTTGCAACCACCACCGTAATCAAGATTTGGAGTGCTCTCATTACCTGCCTCTAAATTGTCATTCCCGACCTCTCCTTCCGCCCAGGTAACTCGTGATCTGCTTTCTATTTGTAAGTTTTTCTGCTTTCTGGAATCTCACATAAATGCAGTCACATAGTATGCATAGTCTTTTGTGTCTGGCTTCTTCACTTAGCATATTATCTTTGAGATTCGTCCATATTCTTGCCTGTGTCCACATGTTGTTGAGTATAATCCCATAGTATGCATGTACCACTTTTTATTTATCCATTCAGTTGTTGATATATTCTGTTGTTTCTTTTTTGACTATTATAAATAATGCTGCTACAGACAAGTACAACTCTTTGCATGAACACATATTTTCACTTCTCTTGGGTAAATAACCAAGAGTAAATTTGCTGGGTCAAAAGGCAAATGTATGATTACTTAAGAAACTGCCAAACTCTTTTTCAAATTGAGTGTATCATTCTGCATTCCCACCAAGTAATATATGAGGGTTCCAGTTGCTCCATATCCTCGCCAACACTTTAACAGGGTTTTGTATATAAAGATGACATTTACTTTAGCCTATACTTTAAAAATATACATCATTTCTCATTTGCATGCTCATAAATATATATGTATATATGTATGCATGCACACAAATATACACTATGCAAAAACTAGGTACTATTATTATTATTATCATTGCTGTTTTATTTTCTTTTGCAAATAGAGATCCTCTTGCTAGTAGTGTACTTCCTGCTGCCCCTTGTTTTTCATTTTCAATTTCCCCAACTCCCTTATCACCCACCCCAACCCCAGTCCTTGTAAACACAGATTCTCTTACACAATAGTCGGATTGGAAAGACAAACTGTCTGACTGAGGATATTCATGCAACAATAATTATTGACCATTCTCCCCTTATACTGCTTTGTTTATAGGATGTGCTTTTAAGGTTATAGCCAGCATTGCAGTTCTACGGTATAAATGTCATTCCAGACACACCCCATTTAACAGGATCTTGCTCCTTCCTCAGGGTAGGAAGGAAATCAGGCTAATTATCTTTCAACTTACAAATTACCTGGTTCTTTAAGTTTCTGAAGCAGGCCAGCCTTTCTCAATACTGTAGGGCCTTCTTCTACCCCTCCTCGTGGCTGAACAATTAAAAAATAAAGTAATTCAGACATGTCCACAATAGGAATCCTTTTCATTATTTAATCAGTTGAATAATAATGATCATTTTTTCAGTTCCTAGAGAGTCAGGAATTTACATTATCTCATTTAATCACCTCAGCAAGGCAGACTGAATCACTCCTATGTCAAATATGAGGGCCTAGAATGAAAAAGGTTGCAGAGTTTCCCTACAGGAACACACTTAACAAGTGACAGAGCCTTAACTACAATCCAGGTCCTAAAACCTGCATCTAAAACCAGATTCCAAAACCTGCATCTCCTCTTCCCATGGTGACCTTCTAACACAGTGAACATGTATTTTGTGCAAAAACACTGTGATAGATGGAAGTACAATAACGGAAAGGAGAGGACTTCTGTCTTTGAGTAACTCATAAGCAAATAGGGGCTTTGGATATTTAACTCTAATTACAGCACTGAGAGATTTACTTCAACGCAGATACAAGATGTGATAACAGCAAAAACAGGATGTTCCTAACTCTGCCAGGGGCAGAGTGTGTCCGGAACACTTCATGGAGCTTTATGACATTTCAGATGAGTCTTGCAACACGAGTAGGCATGCAGGAAACTGGAGAAACTTTGCAAGCCAGAGGAACATCATTGGTGAAAGTGTAACAAAGAAGATGGTGTGGCCTAAGAGAGCCCTACGTGCGGGTGCTCACGGTGGCAGATGAGGGCTCTGCGGAGAAAGCAGGCAACAGGGCAAATCATCACCTGGGAGCTGAAACCTAAAACAAAGACCTGCCCAATGTTTCAAGTTTTGACCTGCCTAAGCCCAGCTGAGGAAATTCTACCCTTTTTGTTTTTAATCAGCGAAACTGACTTGCTTCCTCCTGACCATAAATTTTCTCCAGCCGCGTGGCAGATTAGAAGTCTAAAAGACAATTATTTTATGTTTCTCTCTGATCTAATTTTCAAGAAAACTTTTAGCCTCAGAGAGTTGTTTCTTGTTGTCAGGTGAGAAGATGTGCCAAGACATGTGGGGTTATCCCCAGGAGTGAGGCTGTGGCACCACACTAAGCAAATATTTCTTCCCAATTCACATTACCACATGACTTGCCCTGGCTACCAGGCCAATCCTCGATGTCAAATTCCTGGCTCTGGCAACAATTCAGATTCCAAAACCTGCATTTCCTCTTCCCATGATGCCATGTTATCAATATCATGAACATGTATTTTGTGCAAAAACACTCTGATATATGGAGATACAATAATTAAGAGAAATGCTCCACCTGACGCATGATGCCCTTTTACGCCATTCCTTTTTGGCATGATCCCCACACCCTCGTCAAGTAAGTAGAACTTCTCCATTTATAAACCCCAATAGAGTGCTGTGGGGCTCAAATTTTGGAGAAATGGAGAAAAGTCTCTTCTCCATTATTAGATTTCTTCCATTGCTCCTTACACTTGCAGCACTATCATTTGAAGTGTAGGGCTGACACACGACACACTGTGTCCTGATACAACACCTGGCCTTTTTCCTTCTTGCTTTCAAACATTACAGCAAATCTTACAGACCCCTTAGTTAACACTGTATTTGCTCTAACACAGTGGTTACATTTCCTAGAGTGACAGTTGCTAGCAAGGCTTTTTATTTGTTTTATTCACCCTGTTTCTCAAGATTGGTCTTTTCTAATCGCTTCATTTACCTGCCCATTTTGGAAACCCTCTGTTAGCTCTACTGACTTCAAAGCTGGGTCCCAACCCTTAATTGGCCACAAGTGTAAGATCCACTGTGGATCTAAAGAGGCATCATTGCAGGTCAGGAGCACAGGTTTTGGGATCAGACAGTCCTGGAATCACAGTCAAGGCTGTGTGACCCTAAAAAAATTACCAAACTTCTCTGAGCCTTAGTTAACACAACTGTAAAATAAATATAATACCTAACTCATTTTTTGTCACCACCTACTCCCCCAGACACTGTCTATGAGGGAGTGAGGCAGGGATGGAGTCTTCTCACACTCAGCCTTCTAGTCAGCTGCCCCCCAGGCCTCCCTTGTGCCTGTTTACCAAACTTTTACCTCCTTTAGGTGAATACAGGTGCTTATATATTGACCTTATTTTTTTCCCTGTACACTATGGCTTCATGTGGGAAAATACCTGAGTCCTTACTATCATTTGACAATAAGCTTCATTCTGATGGGACCGTATTTTAATATGGGAAGAGCTGTAGGGCAAAC